GGGGGGGGGTGGCTTTATGAGGTCATCAGCGCGCGACGCAGGTGGCTGGTCGCGCGAGTCGGAGAAAGATCGAGAAATAAAACCTTCGGGAGCGTGATAGTGAGGAGTAGGTATGGAGTTGTGCTTCTGTGGGGGTCGGCGAATGGGACTGCTCACTTTAATAAGTAGTCTGCTTCTTCTCCGACCGAAAACTGGTCTCCGTCGCTGTGTCCAGTTTTCCCAGTCTGTTTGGCCTGTAGTTGCAGTCAGGTTTGAGGAAACACTGCGCCGGTTATAGTCCAGTTTACGTATTTGGTTTGCAGTAACCCAGAAGCAGCAACTCCTCTTTCCCCCCATCAGTAATCGGAGACGTGTCCTGTGGCACTTTCCAGAGATGTTCAGAAATAAACTGAAAGCTGCGCTAAAGGAAGAATGAGGAAGGGCCTGGTAGGGTGAGCTGAAAGTCTATGAATGCAATGTAGTATGTGAGGAGAAGGTCGGAAAACATTAGTGCAGTGCAGTGAGTTGTAGGAGCTTAGAGGTAAACTAAAGAAAGGAATTAAACAGGAATTTTAAATTGAGTAGTCTGGAAGCTAACGTAGTAACGTGGTCACAGTGAGAGGTGAGCGGAACCGAGTATACGACGGGATATGTGTTGCCAAGTTTTGGATGAGTTTGTATTTTAAGATGTGGAGGCTAAGAGCATTTTGAAATAATTGTTTGCGGACCAGAATTTCGGGGGTGGATGGGCGAGGTCAGAGCTAGGATTTTTTTTTTAAAAAAACGTTGTGTTTCTACTGTTTCTGGATCTCGTCAAGTTGCTTCTCCATGCAGTGGAGAGGTTGAGAGAGCAGGAGTGAAGGTGTGGAAGCATGTAAACAAGAAAGGAAAAACGTCCCAAAATAAGTACTAGCTGGGTTACTATTGGGGTAATAAGCGGGTTGACCTACACCCTTTCATCTAGCCTGCTCAGTTCTCTCGGGTGGAGATTTCTAGACATTCACAACCCTCCCAAAGGGGGGAAAAAGATGATTTGCATCTCTTTAAAAATCCGTTGTGGAATAAGGGAACACCTGACCCTGGTTTGTGATTCTCCCAGCAGTGGTAAAATCTTTTGAACATTTACCTTGTCAAGCCCTCCCAGAATCTAAGATGTTTCAATTAGATCAGCCCTTGTTCTTCTAAACTCTATAAAGGCCTAACCTTTGCTTGATAAGTCAACGCCTGATCCCAGGAATCAGCCTAGTAACTCTGTTTTGAACTACGTGCAGTGCCAGTATATCCTTTCTTGAATACATGGACCAAAACTAAAGACAGTACTCCATGTGCAGTCTCACCCTGTACCCAGCTGTAATAACTTCTCTATTTTTAAATTCTGACCCTGAGCAATAGAGTCAAAAATTGTTTGCCACCTTAATTATTTGTTGAAGCTGCATGCTAAATTGTTGTGTTTCATTTGCAAAAACTTTCATCCTGTGTTGCACTTTTGTGGAGTCTATCTCCATTTTAAATAATAGTCTGCCTTCTGACCTGATACTTTGATACATTTGATTATGTCTGCCAAGTTTTTGTCCACACACACATTCTCTGTTCCCTTGCAGATTCTTTGTCTTCACTATATGCACTGCCACTTGTATTTGTATTATCAGCAAATTTGGATATATTACACTTTGACCCCTCCAAGCCATCGATATTGATAGTAAATAATTGAGACCCTGCAGCTCCCCACTAGTTGCGTCTTTTACAACCTGAAAAAGTCCCCTTAATCCTGGCTCTCGCTGTCTTCTGCATGTTAACCAACACTTCCCATTTTAATTCATTGCCTCCAATACTGAGAACTTCTTTCAAATAGTAACAAAGAGGATTGAGGGCAGAGTGGTGGACGTGATCTATATGGACTTTAGTAAGGTGTTTGACAAGGTTCCTCATGGTATACTGGTAGTGAGGTTAGATCACATGGACTACAGGGAGAACTAGCCATTTGGATGCAGAACTGCCTCAAAGGTAGAAGACAGAGGGTGATGGTGAAGGGTTGCTTTTCAGACTGAAGGCCTGTGACCAACGGTGTGCCACAAGAATTGGTGCTGGTGAACGTGTGAAGTATGGTTAGTAAGTCTGTAGTTGACACCAAAATTAGTGGTGAAGTGGACAGCCAAGAAGGTTACCTCACAGTACAATGAGACCTTGATCAGATGGGCCAGTGTGCAGTGGAGTTGTAGATGGAGTTTAATTTAGATGAATGCGAGCTGCTGCATTTTGGAAAGGCAAATTAGGGTAAGACTTATACACTTAATGGTAAGATCCTGGGGAGTGTTGTCGAACAAAGCGACCTTGGAGTGCAGGTTCGTGGTTCCTTGAAAGTGGAGCGGCAGGCAGATAGGATAGTGAAGAAGGTGTTTGGTATGCTTGCCTTTATTGGTCAGTGCATTGAATATAGGAGCTGGGAGGTTGTGTTACAGCTGTACAGGATATTGGTTAGGCCACTTGTAGAATACGGCATTCAATTCTGGTCTCCCTGCTATAGGAAGGATGTTCTGATCCTTGAGAGGATTCAGAAAAGATTTACAAGTATGTTGCCAGGGCTGGAGAATTTGAGCTGTAGGGAGAAGCAGAATAGGCTGGGGCTATTTTCCCTGGAGCGTCGGAGACTGAGCGGTGACCTTACAGAGATTTATAAAATGACGGAAAGAGTGAATAGGCAAGGTCTTTTCCCCAGGGTGGAGGAGTCCAAAACTAGAGGGCATAGGTTTAAAGTCAGAGGGGGAAGATTTAAAAGGGACCCATGGGGAAACTTTTTCATGCAGAGAGTGGTGCGTGTATGGAATGAGCTGCTAGAGGAAGTTGTGGAGGCTGGTACAATTACAGCATTTAAAAGGCATCTGGATGGGTACGTGAATAGGAAGGGTTTAGAGGGATATGGGCCAAATGCTGGCAAATGGGACTAGATTAATTTAAAATATCTGGTCGGCATGGACGAGTTAGACTGAAGGGTCTGTTTCCATGCTGTATGACTCTATAATTAATCTTTTATGGGGCACCTTATTGTATGCCTTCTGGAAATTCAAATATATTATATCTTTTGGTTCCCCTTCTCAACTCTGCTTGTTATATCCTCAAAGAACTCTACCAAATTTGTCAAACACGATTCCCCTTTTACAAAACCGTATTGGCTCTGTTTGATCGTTAAGCTTTTCTAATAACTTGCTATTTCTTTTGATAATGGACTCTACTGTTTTCCCAAAGACAAGTGTTAGGTTAGTTAGCCTACAGCTTCCTGTTTTCTCTCTCCTTCCCTTCTTGAGCAGAATGTTACATTAGCAATTTGCTCATCTGCTGGAACCCACCTTGAATCCAGTTGCGTTCTCGAATATTTCACCTAATGCCTTCAGTGTGTCTGCAGCTTCTTCCTTTAAAATCCTTGGATGTCAGCCACCAGATCCTAGTGACTTGTTTGCATTTACTCTGTTACAAAGTCTTTCCTGCCATTATCACCTTGCTTGGCTGTTATCTTTGAGATGTTTATAATGTTATCTGTTGTGAAAACCAGTGAAAAATACAGGTTTAAATTATATGCTATTTCCCTATTTCCTGTTGTTAATAGAGTACCCCAGTTCAACCTCCAAAGATCCCACGTTTATTTAGCAACTCTTTTAAAGAAATTCTTGTTTATTTTTATATTTCTTGCTAATTTACTTTCATAAACAGTTTATTCCTCTTTATTATCTATTTAATCATCATTCCTAAAAAAAAAGCTCCCTGATCCTCTGGCCTCCTTGATTGCCTTTATAAACCATGGCTGATTCATCCCTTTTATCAAATCCTCCTTTTCAAGTTTTGAGCTTTATGAAATATCTGCTTAAACATCTGCCACTGCTCGTCCACTGATGAGAATCTTGCCCTTGTAATCTTAAACAACTTTCTTCATACCTCTGTAATTGTCCTTATTTAATTTGAAGAAACTAGTTTCAAATGTGACTTGCTGTCCCTCAAACTGATATTGAAATTCTACCCCATGGAGGATCTTAACTCTAAAATCTCTTCTTAATTCTATCTCGTGACACATTACTAGATCGAAAGTAGCCTGTTCGGGGAAAGGATCTGCAACGTACTGCTCTAACAATCCCTGATACACTCTTTAAATTCATCTTCCATGTCACCCGTGCCCATGTGATTTGTCCAGTCAATATCCAGATTAAATTTATAATGGTAACTGTAGTATCTTTCTTAGAGACCTTTGTAATTTCCCAATGAATACTTCATACTACAGTGAGGCAACTCTTCTGAGGCCTATTGATGACTCCCACTTGACTTTTCCTTGCTGTTCTTTATTTCCACCCAAACTGGTTTCACATCACAATCTGTTGCACCTGTCAATGACGATAGCCTTGAATACTTTGACCATCCTTGTCCTCCTGCTGTCTTGACAGTTGACCACAGCATAGTTCTTGTCCACTGTCCAGCTTAGTGAGGTTCCATTATTGACTAATCTGATAATTGAACATCTCCACAAATGCTTTCTCAGCATCACACCATTGCTTTAAACTAAATATGAAATAGAAAAAAGAAAGCAGAAGTGCAGGGTAGTGGTGATTCCCCATCACGCTGCTGCCTTCTTTGAAGGAGCTACTCCACCTCCTTTTCCTTTTTGCCTATTCTTCTGGACCACAAAATACACTCGAACGTTGAGTTCCCAGTTTTGGTCACCCTGTGCTTACACCTCTTTAATAGCTGTTGGGTCCTATTCATTCATTTCTATTTGTACCATCAACTCACCTAACTTGTTATAAATGCTGCATGCATTCAAATAGAGGTTTGAGGTTTGACTTTAACAAGTATTACTTACTTTTGTTTCCAATTTCTGTTGCACTCTTCTGTATTTATTTTGTTCTTCCTACCCCACTATGATCCTTGTTTGCCTCTTCAGTACTCTGCATCTCTGCTTTCTTGTTATCATTTTTAAACTTCCCTTCAATTAAATTCCCCCTCATCCCCATACACCAGAATTTAATTGGTTTAAAGCAATGGTGTGATGGTGAGAAAATGTTTGTGGAACTGTTCAGCCATCAAATTAGTTAATAGTGGAGGAGCAAGTTTCAGTACAGATTCCAGCATCTGCTCTAAACAAAAAATGCTAGAAATCACAGCAGGTCAGGCAGCATCTGTGGAGGGAGGGGAAACTAACATTTTGAGTTCTAGGTGACTTCTTCAAAGCTGACATGAAGTGTAGAAGGGGCAGCATTTATGTAATAGTGGGGATGGGTGCGGGGTTGTGGAGTGCTGGGGCAGAAAAGGTGTTGATAGTGCTGTCCCCTCCACATTTCATGTCAGCTCTGATGAAGAGTCATCTAGACTCAACGTTAGCTTGCTGTCTTTCCATGGATGCTGCTTGACCTGCTCTAGTTAATGGTGGAATCTCACTAAGCTGACAGTGGATGAGAATCATTGAAAGAGACGATATGGTCGACTGCGAAAGACTATAGGAAGACAGATTCGAAGTATTCAAGACTTTTATTAGTGACGGTTGTGGTCATTTTAGTGTTGAGGTCATTTCAGGGCTGATTGGAGAAATTCAAACCAAGTTTCTGGAAACTTGAGTGTGCATTTGGAGATCAAGAAGGTTTGGAGGCTGATGCAGTAGTTCATGTAGAAAGTTGGGTTTCTTTGAGGAGGACTGGTTCTGGAGGTTGTAAGGACGGGTGCCAGCATCAGTGAGAGACAGAGAAAGACTTGGGGTATCAGCTAGCACAGGGACCAGGCCAAGAATTTGAGTTAATTACAGAAAAACTAGATTTTATGGTTTCAAAGCTGGGGAGGCTGAGTTTTGAAGGGTGGAGTTCGCCTTGAAATATGAAGTGGGTGAAGTTCAGGGGAGGGAAAGGGAGGGTGGCTAGCTCTGCTACAGCTCTTTGGGTAATTAATCAACTGTGTTTCTTCTTAAAGTGAAAATTTTAAATTTTGCACTCGAGGTTTGGGTTAACTCGAAGACGCGTTAATCTGAAGACAATGGACATTCGACCTAATCAGACAATCTACATTAACAACATTAATGATAAAGTTAAAAAAGAAGGTAAATTGTTTTGAAGCTTCTTTTTCGATCTAACATGTTGATAGGATCAGTGTAGCACAAAAGTTTGTTAATGTAAAGTTCATGATAGGAACAACAAAAGTGACTGAACATTAAGGGGCAGTTACAGTGGCTGCTTTTCTTCAAGTTCTTTCCCCAGATAGAAACTGAACCCTGCTTACTGTCACTACCGTTTAAGTCTCAAGTAAGGCTGAGGTTGCATTATCAGTTCATGTAGTATTTTAAGGTTGTAGTTACAAGAACAGAGGGGAAAAAATGGGGTTTAAGGTGTTCTTTGAACACACCTTCCCTAATTGGTTGGTAAATGGTTTGTGCCATTTGTAGGAGAGAAAGGGATCAAAGAGGCTGTGCTATAAACAGTGTTTATTATTTGTAACACAGATTCCATGAGTTTGGAGTAGGAGTTAAGCTGTTAAACATTTGCATGCTAAATTGTTTAGGGGAGTGGTTGATCAGCAAGATGCGTACAACTGTAAATCTGGATAACAAATTAATAGTAAATGCCCCATGGTAAGTTTGGAAAAAAAACATGATTCAAAAGATTGTAAATATAACAACTGCAAGGAGTTGAACTAGTTTGGAGTTTCGATGACTGAATATGTTGTAGGCAATTTAAGTAACATCGAACCCTGACATTGTAAGCAACCCGTATTTTTGTTAAGTAATGTTTATTTTGTTGAATGAGGCTAAAGGTGTCTACAGGTAGTTCTGTGGGCTAGATGATATGCAATGAAAACTGGTTATTTTTATGTAATGCAACATTGAAAATTTTAAAAATTGTGTGTTTACTTGTAAAACAGTGTGCCAGTTAATTTGGATTTTTGCTAGAAGTAAAAAAAAAAGCTATTGTTTAATTTTTCTGTGTTCTCCAGCCATAAATCTTGGCCGGTTTCTATTTTTCTGATTCCACCCTCTTGCATCTCCCTGTTTCCTAGCTTAATGGGCTTTAAAGGCTCCACACTTGAATTCTTCCCTGAATCCTTTACTTCACTCTTGCCTGTAAAATCAACCTGTTTACTCAATTTTTTTATCCATCTTGATTTTCCCTCTTTGGCTTTTTCTTATGCCTCTGTGAAATACCTTGAGAGAGTTTTCTATGTTAATGCTACATAAACACAAGTTTTTGAGTACGTGCTAGGCACTGTTTAACCTTATTGACTTTGACTTTGATTTAGAAGATCATAGATTTCACCAAGGGTCAAGAATTTGTGCGGGTAATTTAGGCTGTCAATTTTCTTTGCTGCTGGGAGGTTGCATTATTTCTTGGATGAAATGCTAAATTGAGATCATATCTACCTGTCACAAGTATACATGGTGGGTGGGGTGGGAGGGAAGAAAAGAGAGAATTCCTGCTCATAATTATTCCTATTAAGTATCCAGACCATATTCAATTACTCCAGCAACCGCCCCAATGCCCATAAATACACCAGGACATTATTCAAACAGGCCACAACACACTGCAGCAATCCAGAAATGCGCAAAGCAGAACAGGAGCCCTTATACAGAGCTTTTAAAAGGAATGGATACACAAAAAGCACAATCCGCTGTTACCTCCACGACAGGACACAACAAGAAGACACAACATGGCCCAGATACACTAGTTACCCTACTGTCTGTCAGAGATGACCACAAAACTACTCAGACCCCTAGGTATCAGGGTAGCCCACAAACCAACAATCACCCTGTGACAGCTACTGATGAATGTAAAGAATCCCATACCCACAACCAAAAAAACTAACGTAATATACGAAATACTGTGTAAGGATTGTGAAAAACATTACATAGGCCAGACTGGATGAAAACTGACAATGAGCATACATGAACACTAACCAGCCACCACAAGACATGACCAATTCTCACTGGTCTCAATACACGCTGACAAAGGAGGACATAAATTTGACTGGGACAATGCATCCGTAATAGCACGAGCCAAACGGAGACATGCCAGGGAATTCCTGGGGGCCTGGCATTCCAACCGGAACTCTGTCAGCAAACACATTGAAGTGGACCCGATAAACAAACTACAAAAAACAGAACCGGAAGTAATGCCAACCACCGCAGCAAACTGAAGCATATAAATGACAAGCGGGACGGAACACCAACACTTCACTGGAGGCGCACTGACGATGTTGCCTAGAAGGCTGGTGAAACATCTGCAATCAAACACTGGCTTGGCGAGCAAGGCTGTAACCTTTTAAACAAAAGAATCACCAAGACTTTAGCAACTTTCCATTGAAGTGAGCAGCTATAAATCGTACCATAGTTAAGAGCACAATAAACTCATATTTACATACTTCCTTTAATATTAAAGAGCAATGACAAGAGTAGCAAGCGCAAAATTTTATTTAAATACACCTTTCAAATCCTCAGCAGTGCTTCACGATCAATTAATTATGGCTGCAGATATTGTAGGTAAATGCAGCAGACCACCTGCACACAAGTGTTCCTATTCCCTATTGCCGTTTATAGACTTAGAGGGCATAGGCTTAAGATGACAGGGGAAAGATTTAAAAGGGGGAACTTTATAATGCAGAGGGTCGTGCTTACATGGAATGAGCTGTCAGAGGAATTGGTGGAGGCTGGTACAATTACAACATTTTAAAAGGCATCTAGATAGGTATGTGAATAGGAAGGGTTTAATAGGGATATGCGCCAAATGCTGGCAAATGGGACTAGAGTTATACAAGATATCTGATCGGCATGGACGAGTTGGACCGAAGCGTCCGTTTCTGTGCTGTCTATCTCTATGACTATTCATCTAAGGCTCCTCTAGACAGCACCTTCCACATCCATGACAACAACTGTCTAGAAGGACAAAAGCATTGGATACATGGAAACACCACCAGCCCTCAAAGCCACTTGTCATCCTGACTTGGAAATACTGTAATTCCTTCTACGTCGCTGGGCCCAAATCCTGAAACACTTCTTAGTAGCGTTGTGACTGTACCTACACCAAATGGACTGCAGTGGTTCAAGAAGCCTGCAATAAGTGCTAGCCCTGCCAGCAAAGCCCCGCTCCCATGAAAAGTTATGAAAAGGTGAAACTCTCTGACTTTATAACCATTTTTCCAACTTGCTTATGGATATATATTTTCTAAACATAAGAAATAAAACCAAAAGAGACAAGAAGAGGAGAAGACTGTTTGGTCCCTTGAGCCTGCTCGCCATTCAGTAGGATCATGGCTGGTCTGACATTCCTTGTGTCCACCTGTAGAATTGAGGATTGCTGAAATAAACAGGTTTTTTTCCAAAGCTTTTTATCTTGCACTCAACAGGATAATCTGCAAGAATTATACGCACTAATTGTACTAATATATGTAGCTTCCAGTACACACACGTTGCATTCTTGAGCCCAACTGTGATCATAAATTGGTTGTCAGCATAATTCCTTGCACACTCAGAATTAAGTTGCTGATGTTGTCAAATTGTGGATTCACATTTAATATTGAACACACACTTGTGTCTTTTGCAAGTGTGGCCCGGTTGGGTCTTTTGTTTTCCATTTTATTTGAGTACTTCTTGTGAATTGTCATGATGAGTGCAAGACAAAAGATTTTGACAAATGTCTTATTTTCAATAATGCTCAGATTCTGTACTACCAAATGACTGCATGAATATCAAATTCTTAAAGGATTTGAATGTAACACATTAATGTATTTTCATTTTTCTCCGTAGAGCTGAAGAGGGCATTATATGCACTGTTTTCTCAATTTGGTCAAATAGTTGATATTGTAGCGTTGAAAACTATGAAAATGAGAGGACAAGCATTTGTAATTTTTAAAGAGATAACATGTGCCACAAGTGCTTTACGGCAGTTACAAGGATTCCCATTTTATGGCAAACCTATGGTAAGTAAATAGTCACAAATTGATATTTGTATTTCCAGTACATTGTCTATAGTAGTCTACAGTCTTCTACAGAAGAGTAAGCCATATTATTATTCTTTGCTGTTGAAATGTTCAAGCTAACATTCTTTTGGATCAGAGCTTTCTATTGCTTGATAAATTGTTCACCGTTCAGGAGGAGATTTGCACTGTGTTTGTCTTGTTTGGCTTTTTAAAAACAAAATTGAATCATGTCCATTGCTATTTGTACTCCTCTTTTGGCTTTCATCCCTATGTTCATGTTTCCCTGTGTCTTTGCCTTATGGAAGAAGCAAAGCATCAAAAACCTCTAATGCATTCAGATCAAAAATTCAATCCGGATCCTTCTTGGGCAGTCAGAAGACCCAGTCTGTTTTTAGTAAATGATTTTAATTGGATAATCTATCTTAATGAACAATCCAAATTCTAAAACTCTTGATTTTTTTTTTGTTCGTTAAAGGTCCCTTTTGTTATCTGGTCATGTCACAGAATAAGGATATTGATTCAGTGATGTAGCTATGGGTATTACCTTTTCAAATGCGCAATTTTAAAATACAGCTTACAAAATTGAGTTGGAAGACCTGACTTGAAATCTTGACTACTTTTGCTAGAAAGCGATAGAAGGTGTTGAATGATTAAGAAAATATAATTTCCTGCGTAAGAAAATTAGGACTTGTATTGGTGTGTTTATTTGTAAAATAATGTTGCTGCTTAATTTAGAATAGAAAAACATTAAAATAACAAAAAATAGAGAACAACTAAAGCAGTGACACCTACTTCAAGAACACGGGGAAATAGAAATATAAGATGAGCCATCAGTGGTTTACATACACCTCGCCCAAGTTTTATTTTGAGGAGTCTACGCACAAACATGAATCAAGCTCTGCACTGTCACCACCTTCCTCATCAGTAAGTGGGTTAAAATTAAAATCTGAAATGAAAAGTAGAAGACTACAGTGTGTCCAGCAGAAAGTTGAGACACAACTTCTAAAGCTTAAACCAGCCTTGTTTAGAACAATACAAGTGTGATAAAATCTGAGTGAATGTAGATGGATTTGAGGAAGCACACCATAGGACACTCAATCATCCTTGCAGACAAATTAGTATTCAGCAAAGAAGATACCGTTATGCTTCTGGCATGCTTGATGTGGAAAAGACTGCGTAGTAAATAAAGAATGCTAGATTGAAGAAGACATGTAAACCGTTGGCTTGCATTGATAATGGGATAACAGGAAGTGGAGTTACCTTACTTGATTGCACAAGAAAGGGGTGGGAAGGCAAATGAAAGTTGGAGCAGTATAACAGTGAACAAGAGCTCTTGCAGAAATTGGACACAGTAGATGATAGTGGGCTTTCTTGCATAACCTTGACTTGATTGTTCACAGGATCTGTGGAGGCTGATGGGATGTAAAGTGGGGATAAGAGAACATCTGCAACAACAGTTGGATTGGAGCAGAGGCAGGGTAATGACCCCCTTTTATGTAAAGGCTAATGGCTAGTTAAGGGGAGCTCTGGCTGAAGTAACAGTTTCTTTCAGAAACTAATACAAAGCTGGTGCCAAGAGAACAGATGAAACATGGACATTTGACAAATTGGTTGGCAGCTTAAAGGAAACCTTTTGGAGGAGTCAGTGGGCTTTAAGTACTTGTCATTAGAAAGTTCCTTTGGCAATTTATCCATCAATATTCTCACACTGTTCCAGTGTTGTAAAATAGTAACATCTGCATCATCTTACAAGGCTACTTCAGTTATACATTCCAAATCTAGAAGAATGAGCCAGAGATGCATGGGAATGCCATTGCTTCCAAGTTCCATTCCAAGTTGTGCACCATCCTGACTTGGAACTATATTGCTTTTTCTTCACTGGGTCAGAATCTAGAATTTTCCCTCACTGACTGGTCTGAATGTGTCATGAGGGACTGCAGTACTCCAAGAACAAATTAAAAGACAATGCAAAGTGCTAGTTTATGGGATTTAAATGGGTTCACCCCCCCCCCTCCCACCCCC